AGGGAACTCCCTCTATTTCTTCTTGAGTCAGTTTCAGTAGTTTGTGTCTTTCTAGAAATATGTCTGTTTCATCTATTATCCAATTTATTAGCATACATTTATTTCTAGTGTTCCATTATAATCCTTTTTATTTCTGTAATGTCAGTAGTCCCCTTCTTTCTTTTTTTTTTTTTTTTTTTTGCGGTTCGCTGGCCTCTCACCGCTGTGGCCTCTCCCGCCGCGGAGCACAGGCTCCGGACGCGCAGGCCCAGCAGCCACAGCTCACGGGCCCAGCCACTCCGCGGCATGTGGGATCCTCCCGGACCGGGGCACGAACCCACGTCCCCTGCATCGGCAGACGGACCCCCAACCACTGCGCCACCAGGGAAGCCCCCCCTTCTTTCATTTTTGACTGGTAATTTGAGTCTTGTTTTTTTCTTGGTCAGTCTTGTTAAGGTTTGTTAATTTTGTTGATCTTTAAAAAAAATAAACTTATGGCTTCATTGATTTTTTTTTCCTCTTCTGTTTTTCTGTCCTCTGCTTCATTAATTTCTACTCCAATATTCTGCTTGCTTAGGTTTTTTTCTTTTTCTTTTTTTTTTTTTTTTGCGGTTCGCGGGCCTCTCACTGCTGTGGCCTCTCCCGTTGCGGAGCACAGGTTCCGGATGCACAGGCTCAGCGGCCATGGCTCACGGGCCCAGCCGCTCCGTGGCATGTGGAATCTTCCTGGACCGGGGCACGAACCCGTGTCCCCTGCATCGGCAGGCGGACTTTCAACCACTGCGCCACTAGGGAAGCCCGGTTTTTTTCTATTTTAATGTAGGCATTTATAGCTATAATTTTTTCTCTGAGTACTGCTTTCACTGTATCCCATAACTTTTGGCATGTCACGTCCTCATTTTCACTCATCTCAGGTTATTTTCTAATTTCCCTCTGATTTCTTTTTCTTAGACCCACTAGTTATTCAGCAGTGTGTCATTTAATTTTCACATATTTCTGAATTTCCCAAATTCCTTTCTGTTACTGATTTCTAATTTTATTCAGTGTGGTCAGAGAATATACATTCTATTATTTCAGTCCTTTTAATTTACTGAAGTTTGTTCTATGGCCTAGTGTATGGCCTATGCTGTGCCTTGTGCATTTGAAAAGAATGGATTTTCTGCTCTTGCTGTGTGGAGTGTTCTATAGATACCTGTTATGCTTGTTTGGTTTTATAGTGTTGTTCAAGCCTTTTATTTCCTTGTTGGTCTTCTGCCAAGTTGTTCTATGCATTATTGACAGTGGGATATCAGCTATTGTTGAATTGTCTGTTTCTCCCTTTATTTCCGTCGGGTTTTGCCTTATGTATTTTGGTGCTCTGTTGTTAGGTGCATCTATACTTAGAATTGTTATATCCTCCTGATGGAGTGACCCTTTATCCTTATAAAATGTCCCTTTCTGTCTTAGTAACATTTTTTGTTTTAACACTCTATTTTGTCTGCTATTAGTATAGCCAGTTCATTTTTCTTATGGTTGATGATTGTATATCTTTTCCCATCCTTTTCATTTCTATTTATTGAATCTATTGGATCTAAAGTGTATCTCCTATGAATAGCATATAATTTGATCTTGTTTTTCTATCCAGTTTGACAGTCTCTGTCTTTTTTTTTTTTTCTGTACGCGGGCCTCTCACTGTTGTGGCCTCTCCCGTTGCGGAGCACAGGCTCCGGACGCGCAGGCTCAGCGGCCATGGCTCACGGCATGTGGGATCTTCCCGGACCGGGGCACGAACCCGTGTCCCCTGCATCGGCAGGCGGACTCTCAACCACTGCACCACCAGGGAAGCCCAGTCTCTGTCTTTTGACTGGACTGTTTAATTCATTCACATTTACCATTATTGTTGATATTATTAGATTTACATCATTCTTCTATTCACGCTTTACTGCTTTCTTTGTATTAAGTATTTCTTTAGTATAACATTTAATTTTAATGGTTTTTTTGCACTGCATTTTGGGGAATTATTTTCCTAGTGGTTTCTCTAGGCCTTACCTTGTACATATTAACTTTTTAAGTTTTCCTTTAGATACAATAACTTAATTTCAGTGAGATTAAGTTACTCCTATGTACCTCTCTACATAGGAGGTTTTTGTTATGTAAAGTAGTACCTCTGTATGTGGTACAAACCCAATAATGTAATACAATGTAATTGTTACTTTATATAATTTGTCTTTTAAGGAAGCTGACAGAAGAAAGGAGAGCAGTTACATATTTCTAGTTTTTGTTATATTGGCCTTCTTATTGCTCATTACTGGTTCTCTTCATTTGAATTCTTCCTGTGGATTGAAGTTACCATCTACAGTCATTTCCTTATTAGCCCAATACAATTTTACTCCCCCAACCTTCTTTGTGCCATTATTGGCAAATATATTACATTTCTGTGTTACAGGCCAAACAATACAATTATTTATATGTATTTACAACTATATATATTTTTAATATTTAAATATATGTATGGTTTTATACAACCCCTTTTTAAACCAGTTGAGAAGACAGGAAAACATATTGCATTTGTAGTGTTTTTTGTAATTACATAATTACCTTTACTGTTCTTTCATGTGGATTTGCATTATTGTCTGGGATCACTTCCTTTCTGCTTGAAGAACCTCCTTTGGTATTTCTTATAAGGTCTGCTAGTATGTGGTATGTGGTTGTTGTAGCAAAAATCTGAAAACATTGTAAGTGTGCTTCAGTTGGGAGACATTCTGCTGTGTCCATCTGTGCACCTAAAGGGAGGAGGATAATGTATTGGCGAGTGAGAATAGTATCCTAATTGTGCATCTTTTTTTTTTTCCGTTCATAAAACTTTTTTTCCACTTAACATGAACTTAATACACGTGTTCTTAACAATTATGCTTGAATTGTTCATGAAAATCTCATAAGACATTAAAAAAGCCATCATCTCAAGTTCCATGTTAACTATTTTTACAGCACGTTAGTCAAGCATCAAAAAAAATCACAAAAGCAAAAAAAAAACTTAAGAAAAAATTAAATATATGGTGTTTTTTTTGTTTTACTGCTGTGCTTGATATACATGAAGTAGTGGATATCAAGCAATTCATTTTTTTTTAAATTTTTATTTATTTATTTTTGGCTGTGTTGGGTCTTCGTTGCTGCACGTGGGCTTTCTCTAGTTGCGGCGAGCAGGGGCTGCTCTTCGTTGCCATGTGTGGGCTTCTCATTGCAGTGGCTTCTTTTGTTGTAGAGCACAGGCTCTAGGCTCATGGGCTTCGGTAGTTGTGGCTCAGGGGCTCTAGAGCACAGGCTCAGTAGTTGGGGCGCATGGGCTTAGTTGCTCCGCGGCATGTGGGATCTTCCTGGACCAGGGCTCAAACCCGTGTCCCCTGCATTGGCAGGTGTATTCTTAACCACTGCGCCACCAGGGAAGCCCAAGCAATTCATTTTTACTGCATCTTGTACATTCGTTCTTAAGTTGCCTAAAACATTTAAATGCAAATATAATGAGTGTAGCAAAAATAATGAAAGCAAACAGCAGGTAACTTTATAAATAATGGAATGTGAACCGTTTTTGCTCTTATCCAGAGTAAATTGGGTCACAGCTAAAGGAACGCTTCTGTAGCTGTAGTGAGCGGTGTGCACATTGAGACTGGGTGTTCTGCAGATAACACATAGTTTAACGTTTAATATCCATGGGATATCTATTTCTACTACAGCCTTGTAAGTGTGCCAAACCTTAAAGTACCCACAACTGCACCTGCGACTGGAACCAGTTATCCCTTTTATTCCCCACAAGGACAAACCAATATGTAGGCAGTTTTCTTTTGTGTATCTTTAACTTGTTTCATTTTCAGCATGCATGAGGGCTATTAATATCTTCCCCAAGTAGTAGAGAAAAATATGTAAGGAAAAGAAGATGAAGGTGGGGAAAGGGAGTAGAAACAGAAAGTGAGATGATTTTCTGAAATGTGATAATAGAGTGGCTAGGGTAGAGTAGAGGTCCTGGAGATCAGCTTCCCCACCCCTCCAAAAATAGCTTTACCTGTTTTTCCTGTTCATGGCTTTATACTTGCATTACCATTACTTGCATTACCATTACTTGCATTAATGATGGAAGTAAGAGTTGCCTTCATTCTCACCACCGAGAAAATCATGTAGCATTTTGGTATAAATCCTCCCAGAGGGAAAGGCTCTGGAATGCTGTGCACACTGTCCCTGAGCCCTACTTTAAGGACCGCATGGTGTTCTTTTGAATGTTTGATTTACTTTAACCACTTCTCCACTGAAGAACATTAAGGTGCTTTCCAATTTTTCACTACTGCAATCAATGTGCATGCATGTTTCCAATTTTAAACTTAGGCTAGACTCTGGGAAGGAATTACTGAGAAATTTTTACTTCTGATATATTCCATCAAACTGATTTCCAGAAAATAAACAGTTGAGCCTCTCACCAACAGAGTATAAGTGTCTCTTTTCAACCTTTACATTTGGGGGTATAATTCTTCCTCCTGGGAATCCTATGGATTAAAAGGATGTATATCATTAAAATACACTGTTTGACATTCGTATTCCTGCTTTTATATCCTCCCTGTTTATCCTAAAGAGTTCCATGCATTTTAGGGCATTTGCCCCCTTGTTAGGTGTTGCACATTTGGTTTTTAGTACGTTTTTTTATTTGTTTGCTGCTTATAATTTTTAAGTAAGCAAATCAGATTTCTGCAGTACAGCTGTAAAGACATACGTCTGTAATCAGTTACATACAGTAAGTATGGTATGGAAAGATGGAGCATTTGAGCAAAGATCAAATCGGGTCGTGGCTCCATGCTTGTAGAGTGGACCCACGCTTGTACCCAAGGGTGTGCTTACAGAACTATGCAATCTGGTGGTAGTCATTGGCGGTGCTGGGCCCCGAGGTGGAGGTGGAGAGGTGTGCGGGTGTGAGTGGTCTCTGCCCGATCCGGCGGGGTGGGGTGGGGAGTTTTGGATACCTGGGGCAGCCTCTGCAGCCCTGCCTGCCTTACCCGTAGCTCATGATGGAGCAGTCTAAGAAGTCCTCGCTCATGGTGGCTCGCAGCATCCTCAACAACAAGCTAATCAGCAAGAAGCTGGAGCGCTATCTGAAGGTGAGCTGCACGCCCCTGGCATGCTGGCCCGGCCCCGGCCCCAGCCCCTGGTCCTGGTCCCGGCCCCAGCCCCGCGGGTCCTCCCTTTCTTCAGTATGGCGCCCCTCTCCGCAGGGCGAGAACCCTTTCACCGACAGCCCGGAGGAGGAGAAGGAACAGGAGGAGGCCGAGGGCGGTGCCCTGGATGAGGGGGCGCTGGTCGAAGCGGCAGGGGTCGCGGAGGGTGCAGAGGGCGCGCCGGCGCAGCCCCCAGTGCCCCCGGAGCCGGCCCCTGGGGCCGCGTCCCCGCCCCCACCGCCGCCCCCCGAGGAAGACGAGGAGGCGGCCGTGCCCCTACTGGGCGGTGCGCTGGAGCGCCAGATCCGAGGCATCCCGGGCCTGGACGTGGAGGCTGATGACGACGACGAGGAGGGCGGGGGGGGCGCTCCATGACCCGGGCCCGGGGCGGGCGGGGCCCGCGTGGCCGAGGCTGCAAGCCGAGTCTAATAAAGTTCTTCCCATCTTACCTCTTCCTCTTTTGTCTATGTGCGGCGCGGTCCCCGTGGGCGGGTGTCGGCACCTAGCCGCTGGGCTGTGTGTGCCTGCGGGTGGGGCCCGGGAGGGGTGGGTTGCGCCTGCGCACTGGCGGGGAGGAGAAGGGATACGCCTGCGAGCAGCAAGGCACCGCGGTCCGGACCAAAACTCCCAGGGTGCTGTGAACACCGATCCACAACAACCGGAAGGCCAGCTGGGGTGGTAAGGGCGGTCCCGCTGTGAACTCCAGCCAATGGTAGCCCGTGGAAGGGGTGACACATGCGTCTGGTCTACCAGTAGAGGACGGCGGGAAGTGCGTTGGGCGCATGCGTCCTGTGGTGGCTTAGAAAAAGGAGCTGCTGGCGGGCCGAGCTGAAGACATGGAGCAGGGCTACGGAGGTTAGTGTGGGTAACTCAGTGCGGGGTGGGACCGGCAGGTGGTGCCCGGGCGGCAGGGCCACCACCACGCAGAGGGCTGCGGGCCGGGGACTACACCCGAGCGCGGTTACCGCAGTCCGGCCCTGCGGCGAGGCGGCAGGGGCGCGCGCGCGCAGCTTATTGGATCTCGGCCCCGTCGCTCCCGGGGCGCTGCGTGCGGATTGGCCGACAGGGCCTGAGGAAGTTGGCAGATTTCGGCGTGCCGACGCTGCGGCGGGCTTCGGGGGGCGCCTCAGGCGGTTGGGGCAGTTTCAGTTCCTTAACCCTGGCGGGGTTGGCCGGGCCCTGCGGATCCTCGCCGCTAGCAGGCTTGCTGTCCCTTTTGGAAGACGCCACAAAATGGCGGCGCCGGGGGGCGGAGCTATGGCGCGAGTTTGTGGGGCGCGGGGTCTTCGGCCGGGAGCCGAGGTGGAACCGCTGCCTCTTTCCGGGCCGTCGGGCCTGTCCGGGGACCTGCGGGGCTTGGCTGGGGTCTCCGCGCGGCACACGTGATCTGGGGCGCCGGTCCCGGAAGCCGTATGGGCGGCGCAGGTTTGGACCCCGCCAGGCCCGCGGTGCAGAGCAGCGGGGCCTAGTGCGGCCTCTGCAGTGGTTAGGCTCACTGGGCGCCTACCGCGGACCTAGCTCGTGCAGATCGGGGACGACACATTTAAGGGTCAGATGCGGGGTATCTTGGTCAAAGCTTGGAAACCCGATGAGCTTTGGGGTCGTGACAGATTGGGGGCTTTCCTTAAGGCAGTCCTTTGTGGTGGCCTGGAAACGCCAGAGGGGCTGTGTGAGAGGGAACGTGCCCTTACTCACTTGGGTTTTAGGGCCTGCGGCAGGACGGACCTTCTTGGGCGATCTGCTCTCAGTCTTTGGAATCTGAGCCTCCTGGGAGGCCTTTGCTCTATGCTGGAAGCCGCGTTTGCCCGCAGGGAACAGTTGGAATATGCAGGGTTGGGCTTGACCCGGCGCAGATCCCTATTCAGGTGTATGAGGTTCGAGAAGTAAGCGATCTGATCATGGCTACCGCAGCGAAGGCGCATGTTTTGAAAGGTGGCAGCATTAGCAGGAGGCCAGCAGCAGGAATTGCAGAGAAGCAGAGAGGTCCTGAGGTGCATGGTGTGCTTGTGGCTCTACCTGGTACTCCTGTCTTTTCTGCAGTGTGACTGGATCTCACTCTTCTTTACCTGCCTCCCTACCAGAGTTTTCAGCTAGTAGTAATTCTGCTTTATGCATGCCCTTAGCTTGGAGAGGTCACACACACACACACACACACACACACACACACACGCCCATCTTCCTGCTTACTTAAAACCTTTTCAGACTCGGTTTAGATGCAGAGGCCTCCCTGAATCCTTCTGTAGCTTTTCCATCTAGAGTTATTTCCTAAGATTTGTTGAGGCTTAAGAGTTACTGTTTGGCCATAGGAGGCACCTCGATCTGGGTCCAGGTCCTTGTTCTCCTCAGCTCCATGTTCTTGGGCAAGTGACCTATCCTCTGGAGTCTCTGTGTACGACAGAGTAAGTAGTACCTATCTCAAGGGTCATTGTGAGGTTATGTGAATACCACATGCTCCTTAGTTAGACCAGTGCCCCACAGTTGGTCAGTTGCTGTTAGAATCACTGCTTTTCTGCTGCACAGATGTGGAAAGCTGTGTGACATGGGGAGGTCGTAACCTTCAGCAGGGTGACTTTGGATCAAGTCCCCTAACCTCTGAGCCTTAGCTCCCACAACATCTCTGAATGTCATTCTCTGAATGTCACAACTAATGTGTGCTGAGTGCCCGTCGTGTGTTGCATACAGTAGGCACTCAGTGGTTTGGGTTGTCCTGGTAGGAGAGAAAGGATGTATTTGAGAGAGAGGAGGCTTTGTAAAGGTGAAGTCGTTTGACAGGTATGAATGGTTGCCCGTGCCCAGCTCTGTGCCAGGCTCCAGGGACACAGATGAAGCAGGGCTAGACAGATGCTATCATGGGAATGTCTGGAGGGGCAGAGGGAGCCACCACAGAGAGGAGTGCAGTCTGATGCCTTAGGGCCAGGCTGAAGCCCTGGGACTTCAAGGCCCAGCAGAGCATTGGACGGTTCAGAGTCACACAGAAGCGAGGCCTAGAGAGGCACAGCTGTTGTCTCCAGATTTTCGAAGTTTGTTCTCAGTTGTGGGATACTTATGGCTGCTTGGGGTGGGGGCGGGGGACTGTGTCCTAATGATGAGCTAGCTGGTGGCTGGTTCTGTGTCTTCCTCAGCTGCGGGTTGAGGCTTAGGTCAAGGTCCCTCCTCAGGCAATGGACAGAACTGTCCCGGAAGCCCATCCACCTCCTCTTTTTTCTGCTTTGACCTCAGGCAGGTGGAGTGTGATAATGCAAAACCCAGCTGTGGGATGACATTTAAGGAAACATTGTTGTGGTTGTGCTGCCTTCTTGTAAGGCTGGCACTGAACTCCTTCAAGGAGATTCTTTTATGTTCCTCAGAGCATCTCAGAAGCACTTGTTCTCTGGTATGACACATATGACCCTAACTCACAGATCTGTTCACAGGCTATGGGGCATGGAGTGCTGGACCTACCAACACCCAGGGTAAGTGGGATGGACCTGCTTTTCAGGGAGGCATGGGCTACCCACCCCCCAGCACCAGCATGACATAGCTGGGACCAAGAAACCTTTTTTGTAAAGGGCCAGATAGTAAATTTGGGGGCGCTTTGCAGGCTACATGGTCTCTGTAGAGCAAAAGCCACCATAGACAGTTTATAAACAAGTAGGTAGGCCAGTGTGCCGATAATATTTACTTAAAGACACTGGAATTTGCATATCGTATGATTTTCATGTGTTGCGGAATAGTCTTTCTTTTAACAACTTTTGTTGTTTAATTCTAAGTAAATAACCGAGGGTATAACGAAAGGTTTTTATAATTAATAGACTTTATTTTTCAGTAGCTTTAGTTTATAGGATTGAGCAGATAGTGCATAGAATTCCATACACTCCCCCTACCTTCACCCCAGTACAGTTCCCTTATATGTTACAATTTATAAACCAATGTTGATGTATTGTTATTAACTATAGCCTAGAGTTTATATTAACGTTAACTCTGTTAAACAGTTCTATGAGTTTTGACAAATGTGTAAATGATGTGTCTTTTGTCAAAATTCGTATGTTATGAAGTATTCTTTTGATTATGTTTTTTTTTCTTTCCTGACCATTTAAAAACATAAAACCCATTCTTAGCTTGCAGGCCCTACAAAAACTGGGCTATGGACTAGATTTGGCCCGTTTGCTGACCCTGCTTGTGAGTCTATATCATGGTGCTAAGTGTGTCTGAAGTACCAGAATGTGCTTTTTGGTGGGCGAGGTTTTCTTCTTTTTGCCAGCATCTGTTCCAGGGGATGGGATGAGGGTTTACTTTGTTTTCTGAGCCTGGAGCTTGGCTCTAGCACCACTAGGAGCAGGGTGACTTTTCTGCCCATCACTGAGTTTCCCAGGAGGAGGTCTGTGTTATTCAGGCACATGACGACCCCTTGCTCAGTTGAGTTAGGGACATCATTTTCCACCAGTGCACTCTCTGTGCTGTTGGCAGTGCCTTAGTTCTGGCTCCTGGTGAGAACTGGCACTTTAGAAGGGCTCTCTACCTAGGGACCTGGCCTGGGCGGCCTCTTGGCTGGTGGCCCACGCTGGACAAGCTTCCTGGAAAAAGGCTGCTGTGTCCTTTCTGTTGCCCTAATGGAGGAGATCAGGCTTGCTTAGGAGAGAAGCCCTGACTGTGCTCTGCTGAGTGCTCTGTAGGAAACGAGTTTTACAGCTAGTGGATTGCAGCCTTTCCTGGCCATAATGGGCAGCCAAGGGTGCCTTCTGGAGCACTGACATAGCCACCCTCAACCCTGGCCTGTGCATAGTGGATGAGGCGATAACTGTTCTTCAGCGCCCGGCTGTGGTGGGGGGAGGGGATGTGTCTCAGATGCCTTTGTTTTGCAAACAAAACTCGTATGTTTTTGTTTCTTCTAAGGTGCATATGGAACTGGTGTGGCCAGTTGGCAAGGTAGGCCCTTCTGGGGGTCCATGGGTGGGTGAGTGGGCCTCCGATCAGCTACCTAGAGAGGCTGGGGTGCAGGGATCCCCAACTTCACTCCTAGACGTGCTCACAGCTGTTGTGAAGGCTCAACAGACTGGACCTGAGGTGTTGAGGAGGGCTGGGGGGCAGGCCTCCAGGGGAACTTGCTGGATATGGGGGGTGGGGAGAGTTGTGGTTGTATTCTGGGAGCAGCAGCTCTTTGGTGGGTCCGTCAGTAGTCCCAACTGCTGGCTCCTGGGCTCTCGCTTTGAATGAGAAGCAAGTCTTAGGATCTGGTTTAGAAAACCCATTGCTCAGAGTTGAGGCCGTGCCCCTGCCCTCCTCCTGCTGCCTCTTGGCAGTGTTGGGGTAATGCCAGAAGCACCTGGACCCATGACCCTTTTCCTTCTCCATGGGCAGTGGGTGCTCCTCCCCAGACTTGTCCACCATGGGCTGGCCTTGTGGCTGCTGAGATCTGATTTAGTTTTTCTTCCCTCTGTCAGGTTATGAAAACTACAATTATTATGGTGCCCAGAACACCAGCGTCACCACAGGAGCAACCTACAGCTACGGCCCAGCCTCATGGGAGGCCACCAAGGCCAGTGATGGCCTGGCACCTGGGGGCCCTGCCATGCATATGGCTTCTTATGGCCCAGAGCCATGCACCGACAATTCCGACTCCCTCATTGCCAAGATCAACCAGCGTTTGGACATGATGTCCAAGGAAGGAGGCAGGGGCGGGAGCAGCGGCAGTGGGGAGGGCATGCAGGACCGGGAGAGGTGATTATAGACCTGAGCCCTTCCCGGGGGATCCCGCATGCCCAGCTTTGTGTAGACGGGAGTGGGCACCTGCTCTTCCAGGGAGGGCTCTTCTCCAGCTCCCTCCTGAGTGTAGGATAGATAAATTGAGCCATTGTTGGGGCCGAGGCATGTAATAGGACTTGCTGGTTTCTTGAGTGGTGGGGCTTAGGGCATGACTGTTAGCTAAACTATGCCAGACTCCGTATTTCTGTTTCAGGCGCCTAGCAGACTCTCCCCATTCCTGTGGCCAAGGCTTCAGGCCCCTTTTCAACAGTGTTTGAAAGGGATTTTGGTCTGTTTTATTTCCTGAGCATTTAGGAGGGATGCGTGGTGGTTTGGCTTTGCTGTTCTGAATATAGGGAAGTCAGCTTTGCAGGAGGCGTTGAGGTGCCCGGACAGTGTGGTGATGGGTTGTGCTTTCTTTGCAGCTCCTTCCGCTTCCAGTCGTTCGAGTCCTATGATTCCAGGCCTTGCCTGCCCGAGCACAATCCTTACCGCCCCAGCTACAGCTACGACTATGACTTTGACCTGGGGCCCGACCGCAATGGTGGCTTTGGTGGTCAGTACAGTGACTGCCGGGACCCAGCCCGTGAGCGGGGCTCCCTCGATGACTTCATGCGGGGCCGAGGCCAGGGCCGCTTCCAGGACCGCAGCAACCCCAGCACCTTTATGCGCAGCGACCCCTTCATGCCACCTGCAGCCTCTTCTGAGCCTCTTTCTGCTCCATGGACGGAAATGAACTATGTGGGTGGGCGGGGCCTGGGAGGCCCCTCCGCCAGCAGGCCTCCACCTTCCCTCTTCTCCCAGTCCATGGCCCCTGACTTTGGCGTGATGGGCATGCAGGGGGCAGGTGGTTATGACAGCTCTATGCCCTACGGATGTGGCCGGTCACAGACCCGGATGAGAGATTGGGTATGCCCTTGCCAAGTTCTCATCTGCCTTATTTGCTTTTCCTTTTAAATAGCTTTGTCTGTAAGATTCACTCATATTTTAAAATGCACTTCAACTTTTAGTAAAAACGTACAGAATTGTGCATCCTTCACCACCACATAATTTTAGAGCGTTTCCGTCATCCCAGAAAGAAACCTCTGTTATTAGCAGTCATTCCCCGTTCTCTCCCCCAGCCCCTGGCAGCCACTAATGTACTTTTCTGTCTCTGTAGATTTGTTTTTTCTGGACGTTTCATATGAATGCAGTCATATAATACTTGGCCTTTTGTGTCTGGGTTCTTTCACTCAGCATAAAATTTTTGTGTTTTGGTTGGGGTGGGGGCGTCCAACCATGTTGTATTTCTTTGCTTTCTGAAAAGACCTTTTCTGTCCTTGTTCTCTGATCTTACAACCTCTTTGTTCTTCATTTCTCTGGGGTATGTTAACCGTCCGAGTAAGCAATGCATTGGAATATGCTTTTGTCTGTAGCCTAGGCGGAGAGAGTTTGATCGCTGCGGCCCAGATAGCTTGGGCAGGAAACGGAAGCAGTTGCAGATTTACGATGAGCCAGACACCAAACAAGCCCGGGCTGACAGTGAAGGAGATTTTTCTGAAAACGGTATGCCCTGGGGCCAGTAGGCCCAGCTGTGTATGAGTCAGTTGCATGCTTGGTGTTCTGCCTGCTTGTCTGGACAGGGGACACACAGGAACTCAAGGGCTGTGTGTGTCACCTGCACTCTCAAAATCCCCACTGTAGTCAGGACAAGCGCAGTCACTCTGGACAGTGAGTTTGGGAGGTGAAAACAGGGAGTGGGCCAGCTGCCGAGGTGCTGACTTTACCTATTCCTTTGTGTTTGGTAGATGATGGAGCTGGTGACTTCCGGTCAGGAGATGAAGAATTCAGGGGTGTAAGTTCGCCTTTACTCATCAACCTCCAGTGTCTCTAGTGTGGGATTTTTTCCTTACTTTAGTGTCTTCCTTACAAAGAGGCAGAAACAGTTGCTGCGGTAGGTTCAACTCTACCTCATGAGTAGATTTTTTTTTTTTTTTTTTTTTGCGGCGCGGGCCTCTCACTGTGTGGCCTCTCCCGTTGCGGAGCACAGGCTCCGGACGCGCAGGCTCAGCGGCCATGGCTCACGGGCCCAGCCGCTCCGCGGCATGTGGGATCTTCCCGGACCGGGGCACGAACCCGTGTTCCCTGCATCGGCAGGCGGACTCTCAACCACTGCGCCACCAGGGAAGCCCTCATGAGTAGATTTAATAATCAGATTTGCAGCTAGGTTTCTAAGAGTTTTCCACTTGCAACAATCCTTCTTTTCTTGAAGACCTTCCCAGCCCTCTCCCCAGCCATACCTGTGTCCTCGCAGTGATGTGCCTAGCTATACACGTGGTAACTGCAGTGGCTGTGTAGGCTGAGGCTTTCAAACAAGCGCCGAAGACTCATTTGCTGCCAGCTCTGTGCTGGTGCTGAGCTGCATCCTTGTCATTCAACTCTCAAAACCAGTCATGGGAGATGGGTGTTGAAGGCTGGCTCTTAGCCAGGACCATGCACAAGCACCTGGGGAGCAAGCCTTCGCCACCTCCTGCAAATTCTGATCCAGGTCTGGGGTAGGGCCTGGAAATCTGGGTGTATGAAGGCTTCATCCAGGTGCTTCTGATGGTCAGATGAATTTGGGGAAGGGGAGGAAGGGGCAGGATACAGTGAATTTTCAACTTTTCTGAGGGTCTTGCTTGCTCCATGTCTAGGTTGCTTAGATCTTGAGTCTGAAAATCTCTGCATATCTGCTGATTGCTAATTTAATCTTTAGCTTAATGTCTAAGGAATGGCCTCAGTTTCAGTTTTCAGTTAGATGAGTTGTTTTTATCTATACCTGGCTTGTTATAACGTAAACAAGTAGCTGGGAAACTTCATAAAGCCCATTTTCATTAAAGAGTGCAGGAACTAGCTTCCTACAAATCGAGGTTGCTTAACACAGTTGATGGATGGGCTCTTGGTCTTCCCATGTGCAGAACCGTTCACTTGCCAGAGGTAGTTCTCTAGCTTTAGGAAGAACTAAAAGCTGGACTGTGTCTTTAATAAAAAAGCAAGTTAGTCATCATCACAGAATCTCAGAAGGCAACCAGGACTAGTGAGAGGACACTCAGGCTCCATCCCATGGCCGTGGAACTTGTCCTGACACATTTTGGGGGTGTTCCTGGTGGCACAGCGACCACCAGGTGGTGGCAGGGTGCTGGGCTGGTCGTGGAGAGTTCTAGAAATTCCACCTCACGGTCTGACTTTGTGCCTTTTTAGGAGGACGAATTCTTCGAATCCGGGAGGCAGAGAGGTAGGCATCACCCAGCATCCCTTTGAGCTTTCCTGTGTCTGCCCAGCTACCTTGCACTCACTGCCTAATGCCCAGGCGGGCTGGGTTTCTGAGCGAGCCCAGGGCCTGGGTGGAGGGGCTTGTGGCTCAGGGAAGAAGAGGGGCCCTGCCTGCAAGGTGGGCCTTAGCCATGCCAGTCACCCCGAGGCTTTGCCTTGGAGTTTGGAGCAACACTTGCTGGAGACAGGTCTGTTTGCCTCGCTCAGTGCAGGCTGCAGAGGCAGGGGAAAACTCATCTCTGGGTGTCTGCAATAGCTCGCAGTGGTAGGGAAGGGAGAGTCTCAGAAATGCAAGAGAGAAAAGAAAAGGCGCCCTCCAGCTTGTCTTCTCTGCTCCCCCCTTGGCCAGTGCAGGTCCCTGTACTGTTCTCTCCTGGGCTTCATTCTGTCCACAGTTCCCTTGCTTGCCAGGCCAGGGCCATGCTCTCAGCCTCTGTGGTGGGGACACTGGCACGGCATGGGGCAGAGTTCAGACACCTGCCTGGGTGGGGAGCTCGGGAAGGGGGGGGACAGTCGGGACACTCAGGCCCAGATCCTCCAGAGGCAGTCACTGCTCAGCAGATCTCACCAGTTCGAGCGAGGGAAACCTAAGAGACCAAAATAAGCAGCAAGAACAGAGCAGTGTTAAGCCCTTCAGGGGGATGTGGAGAAGCAGCCACTTGTTTCTTTTCCTGTTCCCATGGGTCTGTCCATAGCTGGTTTCCCCTAAGAATCACAGGCTGCCTCCTGTGTGACTCTGCTCCCGTAAATTCTGAAGACTCCTGGCTTAGATGCTCCTTCTCTCATATGTTCAGGTTTAGCCAACCCTCTGAGGTCCTCCTGCCCTGTTTATTGAGGCAGTTAACGTTTATAGCATGGGACCACAGAGAGCATTTTGCAGCTCATGCAGCGGGGTAAATGCTAAAGCAAAGGTGACGTGTTTATTGCGCGCAGGTCCTGCTACCTACCCGGGATGACTTTGCTATTAAACAGCAGTAATAGTTTCAGGCAGTGACCTCTTGCCAAATATCCCACACGCCCTTTTGAGAGGCTTCTGAGCAGCGCACGCCGGTCGCCATCTTCGTGGGACAGTCTCGTGACTGGCATCAGGGGTAGGGGTTACAGTTCAGATGCTTATCCAACCTTTTTTCAGTGTCTGGCCCTGGCCCTGAGCCGCGGTGACCTGGCCTGGCCTCGCCTCATGCTGGGACTCTGGGCTGCACAGCTCTCAGAGGAGCTCCCACACTGGCCCCACGGGATGGACGGAGGACCAGTTGGTCTCTTCCCATTTTTATTTCTGGGATTGCTTCCCACATATTCTTGGGAAAGCCCTAGATTGACGGTTTTTGTGAGAGGAAGATAGAGTTTGGGCCACCAGGGATTGTCAGACCTGCTAAGGCCCTAGTTCAGAGGAGGCCAATGGGACAGTTGTCATGGTCCACCTAGAGGTGGGACGGAGGGCAGCAGAGTGGCTTGCTTTATTTTCTGAGGCCTTCCAGCTGCTGCCTCTTTATCTGGGAAGAATTGCTTCTCTCTCTCCTTAAGTAACATTGGGAGAAGACCCAATTGTAGGGTGCTGGATTAGAAAAGCAAGATAGGGAAGGACACAGAGAGCAGGTGGGCCATGGTGTGAGTGGGATGGGCGGGCCATGTCCCTGGCCCATGCCAGCCTTATCAGACCATGGGGGGAGTGAGGTGACTCCCTTGGGAACTACTGAGGGTTCTCATCAAAGGCCACCCCTGTTGGGAGCCTTTGACAGCCCTTTGGTACCTCAGGGTGTCCTGCCCCCGCCATGTGTGGAGGCCGTGGCAGGGCATGGGGTGTGGTGGCCGAACTGTGGCCCCCATTCAAGGCCCTGGTGCTCAGCTCATCTGCAGGCTCCTCAGAGTGTCTCGAAGGAACTTTTCTGTTGCAGGAGAGAAGGACGATGAGGATGATGAAGTGAAGAAGAGGAGGGAGAAGCAAAGGAGGAGAGACAGGATGAGAGACCGAGCAGCTGACAGGTGAGGAGGCAGGCGAGGTGGGAGGTGAGCACTGTCAAGACTCCCCTGAGCTCATCTGTCATCACTCCACATGCAGGGGGGGGCCTGGTTTGATCTTCTGACTCCAGGTGTATGTCAGAAAATCCAAGTCAGGTCGATGGGAGACAAAACTTGGGAAACACACTGAATCTTATTCTTGCTGGTGGGTCTGTGTGGCCTCACATTCCCAGCTGGCGGCTCTCTTGATTGCCCTCCTGCAGGGCTGTGAGGAGTTCCCTTGCCCCCTGGCTTGTGTCTGTCATCCCAGACAGGTGAAGTTCATTCAGCATAGCTGCCAAGAAGGTGCTTTGGGTCCCTCGTCCACATAAATCCAAACCACCTGTGGAGTTTGATGTGACGATTATATATGTATAGTTGCTACCTTCAAGGTTTTGTCTCTAAATAGAAAAAAATGCAAAAGTGCAAACCCCAAAGGGCTGTGTGCTGTGACCACACCATGTGCCTCTCCCCGTAAACCACAGGTGGCCACGTGAGTGCGTGGTTGATGAGGCCCATGACCACAGGTGGTTATGTCTCTATGCACAGGTTCTCTTGATGACTTGGAAGGGAACCCTTGCCCTTGAGGCTTAAATGGGGGTAGTGGTTTCCCTGTGCAAAGAAATGCTTAGCGAAAGAGCTAACAGTAGAGGCTGGAAAGCCAGGAACTGAAAAGTAGGAGTTCCAAGTGTTACACAGAATTCATTGAAATCCTTGTTTTTAAACAGATGAATAAAATGACAGGTATATTAGATCTGTTTTCATGCCACATGGGAACTGAGATGACTTTTTTAAAGGAATCTTTAACATACCTAGTGACTGAAGATCCTCAAAGAAACTTGGAGAAATTGTCATGGGGGAGGTAAAGTTGCAGCAGGGAAGTAGGAACCCTGTATTTCCTTGGTAGCTTACCGAGAGTCCTGCACATAGGGCCTGGGAGATTTCCCCCTTCACTCCTCTTTCGGGGGTATCTGCAAAGGCAAGAGTGTCTTGTGGCACTTGTCCAGAGATCAGAAGGCAGGCGTTGGGGGCCAGCAGATCTCTAAGTTGGCAGGGGAGGACTCCTGAGTGCCCCAGGGCCTGTGCTATTACACCCCAAATGGAGCAGAACTGAGGGAAGCAGCACCCACTGTGGGGGTTTGGTGGTGTGTAGCGTGCTCTCCCCTTGCCGTACAGCATGCATGCATTTGGTGAGATTTTGAAAGCGCACAAGAAGCCTCAGTTTTCCTTCATAGAACTTGATTGTGATGTCTTTACGTTGAGTCCCATTGGAGAATTGATCTTAGGATATGTGAGTTTTGAATTGTGTGAGGTCTTCGGGAGTTCCTCTGTTGTATTAAATTGGGGTTGCCTTGTATCTTCTGAGTGGCTGCAGAAGGAGACATCTGAGAAGCTATGAAGTTAGGTACTAGGCCCCCAGAGCAGTGGGCTGGAGACTTAGGGAGCTCACAGTTCTGAAAAGTCTCCACCTTTGGCTGTTCTCTTGTGAGCCTTTGGACCAAAAAGAGTGGTTAGGTAGTAAAGTGCTACGTGAATCATTTTCCTGAAATACTTGCAAGGTTGTACTCTCATTCTGAAGGTGGGGAAGCTTGGGGTAACTGCTACTCTGACACCCTGTGACAAGTCAGAAGACTTAATTCAGAAATTGCTTTCCCATTTCCATTTCAGTTCTAAGCAGAGATGAGTTGGTTATCTGTGCATCACCGCTTTTCTTTTTGTCTTCCTTCTCCAGGATTCAGTTTGCCTGTTCCGTGTGCAAGTTTCGTAGCTTTGAAGATGAAGAAATCCAGAAGCATCTGCAAAGCAAATTTCACAAAGAGACACTGCGGTTTATAAGTACCAAATTGCCTGACAAGACGGTGGAGTTCCTCCAGGTAAATCACGCTTGGCCTCCCATCACGGCATTTCCCAGATCCTGCAAGTGTCAGATCCCTCACAGAGAAGGGAAGGGAAATAAGAGGCCTAAACTTGGTCAAGATTTCGTTTTCCAGAATAGCAGTGTACAAGTCCCGAAGTCAGAGGGACAACTGAGAGCTCCCGTCATTGTAGTTCCCACTAATTCTGCCCATGGAGCTGCTCTGATAGCTGTCTTCCCTTCCTTGGAGCAGCTGAGATAAGGCTGTCACTGCCCCCCATGGGCTTGGCAGTCACCCTTGGGGGGCTGCCTCTGGTGCAGTTGGAAAATATCCACATGTGTCACCCTCTCATTTCCTTTGGTGCCATCTCACAACCTCTCTAGGAATACATTGTAAACAGGAATAAGAAAATTGAGAAGCGGCGTCAGGAACTGATGGAGAAGGAAACCACAAAACCAAAACCAGATCCTTTCAAAGGTGAGTTGTGATCCTGGGGTGTGTGCTATTCCAAATCACAGAGCCCAGCTCGGGGTGGTTGAGCATGTGACGTGAAGACAAGTGGGAGGGGCGCTTAGCAGGGGAAAGAAGCCTTCAAGTGTGGCCTAATGTAGATGACGCCTCTACTGGCAGCTTATTGGAGTGACATTAAGCACTCTGATGTTTTTTCCTCCTTTGAAGAGAAAGGACCAGAAGAATGAGAAAAGTTAAGTATAAAGTTGCCAGGTGTAGAGGCCATTTGTCTGTCTCCATACTCCTTCTGGAGGGCAGGTGATGCCCGTCTTAGATTCTGTCCTAACTGTCCTAACTTAGAGAGGGGCTACAGGGAGAAAACGTGGGCCTTGATGGGGAGTAAGTGGGAAGAAAGCATCACTTGCATGCTGTCCCAGATCCCACAAGACTTGGGTTTTGTCAACAGGGATTGGCCAGGAGCACTTCTTCAAGAAAATAGAGGCTGCTCACTGCCTGGCTTGTGACATGCTGATCCCTGCGCAGCCCCAGCTCCTCCAGCGGCACCTGCACTCTGTCGACCACAATCACAACCGCCGGGTGAGTGCCCCCCTGATGCTGGGTGGGGCAGGCAGTCCTGGCTGCTAGTGGGAGGGGTTCCGAACTTTCTGTCTCTTATGGGGAAGCTAACATCTTTAGGGGCTTTTGCCATATACCGTCAAGTCCATCATTTCATTAGGTGGTTATAAAATGCACCCCAGTTTCTATTAAAACGTGAGAAAACTGTGTTGCTTGAGATTGACTAAATCCAGTAGCTGCAGTTCTCCTGGGTTGAGAATGTTCTTTGTAAACCACACGGGTAAATTCCCCAGTTGCTGAAAAACTGGATTTCTTATAAGCTGAGGCTGAGGGCCACCCAGAGCAGAATGGCCTAGGGGACCCAGGACTAAGGACTGGTTTGATCCTTACTAGCTGATGGGGCCTGAGGCTAAATGTTTAGCTCAAGGCGTTGGCAATTTTTTTTTTTTTTTAAAGGGTCAAATTGTAAATATTTTCAGCTTTGAAGGCCATCAGGTCTCTGCCTAAAGCCTGCCTAACGCCTCAAGTCCGCTGCTGATGGGCAAAAGCAGCCAAAGGCCATAAGTAAAGGAATGGGTGTGCCCACGTTTGGTCTGCGGGCTGTAGCTCGCCAAGCCCTGGTTGAGCATCTCTGTCTATCGTTGGTTTACCCTGACTACCAAATTGGAGCTACCTGCCCACCCGTCTCCTGGTATTATTAAAGATCAGCCAAAAACCCCTGTACAAATATGGGATTATCATATGAATGTGTCAAGCTCTAGAACAGTCAAATGGTTGCAGCATTCAGACTTTTGCTCTAGAATTTACTTGTAAAGTCAATAAAACTCAAAAAACTGAAGAAAAAGCTTGCCCTTTTCCCCTACTGAGTCCACATAGCTTCTGATCTGTAAATGTTCTTATTTCATCCTTGCTTGTGCACATAGTATACATCAGTCGTGTGCCTGTGCTTTTGTCTTTCGAGATTATCAGACTTTTCTAACACTATTTCACAATCTCAGTTCCGGTGCCTCTCCAGTGCCTTCTTTCTTTCATTATTGGAGCCTAGCATTTGGGGACTTACCATAGTGAAGAAAGATGTTAGTTGTCTCTCTACATAGGACTAATCTCAGAGCAGCTGAGTGTAACCAGGCTGATTTGTTCTCATGCTTCTCTATGCATGCCATTTTTAAAAGCCCATGTTTGATTCCCTTTGTAGTTGGCTGCTGAACAGTTCAAGAAAACAAGTCTCCATGTGGCTAAGAGTGTTTTGAACAACAGACATATTGTGAAGATGCTGGAAAAATACCTCAAGGTTTGTGCTCAGGAGTCCAGTAGATGGGAAGAGCTTTTGAGATGGAGGATGAACTAACTCTGGGGGTTTGGAATTATATCCAGAGTGCAGTGTTTGGCATTTCTGAGTCTTTTGAAGAATTGAGAGATGTTGGAATGTATCGGGCTTGGGATTCCACAACTGCGCATTTCCTGAGACTCACTGCTTGCCTGGGAATTCTGGAGTTTGGTCCTACTTGATTAATCTGTGTGATGGTGCTGACTCTCACCATGAGAAACCCTGACTATCCATAAAATACCAAGCAAAACGCTGGTGAGATGCTTCAAAACAAAGCAGCAAACCAAAGTAAATGATAATGGTCCAGGTAGAAGCTAAAAACAAGGTTTTGCGGGCAGAGACAACCAACAATGAGATGGGGAACGAGGGGGAGGGAAGAGCCAGTGGTGCCATACTACGGAGTAGCAGGAGCAGAGTAAGAAAAAAATCCCAAAGAGGGCACCCTAGCGAGGAGGCTGCTTGGAAGAGTCTCTGGTTCCTCCCTGGGAAACATATTTTGCTAAGTGCTCAGCCCCATGACTTCAGCGTTCAGGGCTGGGAGTTAAGATTCAGCATAACCTGACTAGGATGTGTTTGCCCTCCTCTCAGTTATTAACTGCTTCAGTGTTTGACAGTTCATTTCAACCATAAAGGGATAGAATCTAAATAACCGGTTTAAGAACCGTAACTGATCAGTGTTCACTTTGTGGCTTAAACAGACTTAAAGTTCCTGGAGTCAGCTGTAGACTCAAGCTTCTAAATAAGTGTCTTTGTTTTTGTTTTGGGTCCCACCTTGCGGCTTGCGGGATCTCAGTTCCCCAACCAGGGATTGAACCCTGGGCCATGGCAGTGAAAGCCCAGAATCCTAACCACTAGGCCATCGGGGGAACTCTCTAAACAGCGTATTTTAAAACACATTTTCTAATCTGCTAGTGATAATGTTTAGTTTACTTTTTCTAAACTAGACATAGTTTTAGCATATGCTCATGAGAAATTCAGCTTCTGAGAGAGGTACACTTGGATTGAATCCTGACTGATGTTTAATGGCTGTGTGACCTGGCAAGTTAACGATCTTTAAGTCTCATATCCTTCTCTGTAAAACGGGGATAACCTTCATGCCTGGGCTGAGTGCTTAATCGAAACTTAAGAAAGAGCCTTAACTTCCTGTTAAAATGAGGCTTTTTTTTTTTTTTTTTCTTTAATTGGGTTAAGAAAGCCTAGGTCTTTTAAACGTTTCCTCACCATTACATGCTTGAATAATAAGTGCAAAATAGTACTGGTGAAGCTTTTCTGAGATGTCTTTTCTGAGTCTGTGGGCTCTGAGCAGCTGTAGGATTGACTCACCTGGTGTGATTTAAAAGGTTTCTCTTGACTCTGCCCATTATAAAAAGATAAACTCCCAGCAACCTGAGCCTCAGTCTCTCATTTGGACAGTTCTTTAGACTGCACTAACCTGTGTTTCCTCTTCTTGGCCAGGGTGAAGATCCTTTCACCAGTGAAGCCGTTGATCCAGAAATAGAAGGAGATGACAATTTAGGAGGTGAGGATAAGGAAGAGACGCCGGAGGAGGTAGCTGCCGAGGTCTTAGCTGAGGTGATTACGGCAGCAGTGAGGGCAGTAGATGGGGAAGGAGCACCTACCCCGAAAAGTAGTGAAATGCCGGCGCAAGAGGAAGGCCCTATGGACACAACTGAGACCACTAGTGGTCCCCACCCTGGAGAGCAGCTGGAAGCGGAGGCACCCTGTGGAATGGCACCTGAGAAGGGCAACACTGAAGCAGAGGCTGGAGGTGAAGCTGCTGAGGCTGGAGGTGAAGCTGCTGAGGCTGGAGGTGAAGTTGCTGAGGCTGGAGGTGAAGTGGAAACCCTGGCAGCAGAGTCGGAAGGCACCTTGACAGTCACTGCTCCTGTCCAAGCTGCTGCAGAAGCCGAAGTGGAACAAACTGATGCAGAGTCCAAAGATACTATTCCCACAGAATGATCCTCCTTTCCCTGTTTCAGGGGATGTGTTATATAATGCATTGTTCTTTCTTCTTTGGTTTATAAGCAGTACTAGGGTATATGATGCTGGAATACTATTTTGGTGAAGAGACCCAGCCGTTTCCTTCAGAAAAGTGTACCTCACAGGCTTGTCTTAAGAGTTGCGTGGCTTTCTGCCTTGGTTTGAAGGCTGCAGAAGCTGTACATTCCCACAAGTGGCTGTGACATCTCTCTTTACACTGTAGTTGGAATAATAAAAGTTGGATAAGTAGATTTTGGTGACACTTTGCTTGTTAAATACAGCCAGTGGCTGAATGCACCACCACAACCACCAACACCCCTGCCCCCCCCCCGCCCTGTATTATTTTTTGGTCTGGGAGCAGTTCAGTACTAGGATATATCTTGCTTTATAAAGGATTTTTTTTTTTAAGTTTCATGAATTTGCTTTGGCTTCAGTTTTTGATCTCTGCTTTTGTGGTACACTGTATGGTATGTGGTTCTCCTTCACAAGATGTAGCAGAATCTTGTTAACATGCGATGTTGATCCTGTCACATCACTGAACTCTCAAAGGCCTGATGAATCTGACACACCTGCACCATTAGAAGCATACCTACTTACCCCTCAAGAATGGGAACACTTTGCCCAGGGCATTGTTTCCCAATCTTTAGTCCTTGGTGAATCACCTTTACAATGTTTTACCTCATTTGTGTTCCACCTCTGCATTACTTCAGGGTTTTTTCGGTTTTGTTTTTCTTTAAGTTGAGTTACTTCTACTTAAATATATTTAAAAAGAAAATTTGATGTCTCATGAATGGAAAACCAGTATAAATTGCCATACATAGATACTATCCGTGGAAAATGAATAAACATTTTATTTTAGATAAATACTGTTGCTTTGGAAGTTTCTGAATCTGTAAGAAAGAAAAGCCAGCATGTGTTAAAGGGTAGTAAGCAACAGTGATACTTTCATATAATCAAAAGAATTGAAAGATACCTCCCTTTTGAAATGATACCGCTGGGTCTGTTTTCCTATAAACCTTTGAACTGTCACATTTGGGGAAGCATTGGCCAGTGGGAAATCGTTAGGAAAGAGGTAGCAGAATACTTGATGAGCATCTGTTGTGTACCAGGTGCTAATTCATGATAAAAATTAGATATGGGCACTGCTCTCAAGGAGCCTTATTGGAGATGTGAGATGAATATTTATGAAAAAGTCAATGTTAGAACTAAAAACAAATAAACTGCTTAGTAAGAAGAAACCGGTGCCTATGAATCTTTTCTAAACATTGTTCCTTTTACTGCACAGATGTGGCTTAGTCACAGGTTATGCGTGCCCTTTGAAGCTTGTTCTCTTGAGGCCAGAAGGTGGCACTGACCATCAGTAGCCTGAAAAAGGATAACAAAACTATGAAACTGCTTTTTTTTTTTCTTTTTGGCCACACCACGCGGGATCTCTGTTCCCCAACCAGGGATTGAACCTGCGCCCTCAGGAGTGGAAGTGCAGAGTCTTAACCACTGGACCACCAGGGAATTCCCTTGTTTTTCTTGTAAAATTAATACAAGTCTTGCCATGGAATCTGAATTTCAATTAAGTTCTTTCACTACCACCCTCGCACCCCCACCCCGTGTGAAATGACATGGATCATTTTATTCCTAAACTTAGGTTAAACCAGGCCCTTCCTCATTCCCCAAGATGGGGAGTCATTACTCAGGCTGCACAAAGGGGTGCCCTAATATTCCTGAGGTGACAGGAATAAGTTGCAAGCTTCCTCATTGCAAACTAATATCGGTTATTTCCCATATGTAGGGGAGAAACCTGAGAGGGACGTTAAGTAACTTTTAGGGCCCCACATTAAAGATGGGGGACTACCGAGGTCAATACACAGGTCCATGAGACACCAATGGCCGTGAACTTTCCATAGAGCACCTTTATTATTTAAAAACAGGTTTAGAGAATTTGGCAATCTCTGCTACTGGCAAGCAAAAAAATCTTAGGAATGGCAACCTAGTTTCAACTTTTGGTAACATGGTGGGCCTATGTGATTTCTTTGGGTTTTTATGAAATACTACAGTTGCTAAAGGGGAAACAGTACAATGTAATGAGCAAAGTGCTCATTCAAGAGTACATAATCAGTATTAGTAAATCCTCTTGGACTTTGGACCATAAAGAAATCACTTCTGCTGAAAGTGATCCTTGCTCACCAGAAGTGCAGCTGGTGGTGATTAGACAGGCACAGTAGAGTTGAAGTAGAATTTTAGCACTAACAGAGTAGAAGAGCCTTTTAGCATTGGGCCACTTCCTTTATCTTGTATAAGGACACTGTGAGGCCTATGAGGTTTAGTTGGTATGTACCTCCTCTCAAAAACACTATGTGGTTGAGCATATACTTTATATATATATATATATATGAAATAGGAATTCAGTTTGGGGGACAATATGAATATGGTGGGGTAGGGGGCAATCTATCCATTCTCACAGAGTTGGTTATCAGAATTAAGTGAGATAATAAATACTTGGCACTACTGAAAAAGTGGTTTCTAAGCTCAATGGTTTTGGGGGTTTTTTTCCTAAGAGGTAAAATTCAAGTAACAAAATGGGCCATTAACCATTTTAAAGCAGACAATGCCATGGCATTTGGTACACTCACAAAGTTGTGCAACCATCACCTATAACTGGTTCCAAGACATTTCCCTCACCCTTAAAGGAAACTCCTTACCCATCAATAGTCACTTTCCACTCCTCCTCCCCAGTCTCCTGACAACCACTGATCTGCCTTCTGTCTCTGGATTTATCAATTCTGGTTGTTTCATATAAAGGAAACCTACACATGACATTTTCAGTCTGGCTTCTTCACTAAGCATAATGTTTTTGAGGTTCCTCCATGTTGTAGCCTATATCAATACTTCATTCCTTTATATGGCTGAATATTCCATTGTATATATATACTACTACATTTATTTATCCAGTTATCCAATAATAGACATTTGAGTTGTTTCTACCTTCTGACTATTATGAATAGTGCTTCTAGGAACATTCGTGAACAAGTATCTGAGTACCTATTTTCAATTCTTTTGGGTATTTACCTAGGAGTAAGATTATTGGGTCATATGGTAATTCTTATGTTTAAAATTTTGAGGAACCACCAAATGCTTCCACAACAGCTGCACCATTTTACATTCCCATCAGCAATTTGCAAGGGTTCCAATTTCTCCACATCCTTACCGACGTTTATTTTCCTTTTCTTCTTCTTCTTCTTGTTTGATTCTAGCCATCTTAGTAGGTGTGAAGTAGTACCTCTTATCTCATTGTGGGGTTTTTTTCCTTCGTTTTGTTTTGTTTTGTTTTTCTTTTGGCAACATCACGCGGCTTGTGGGCTCTTAGTTCCCCCATCCAGGGATTGAGCCTGGGCCCATGGCCCTGAAAGCGTGGAGTCCTAACCACTGGCCTGCCAGGGACTTCCCTCATTGCGGTTTTTTGTTTTTTAAAATTAATTAATTAATAATTTTGGCTGGGTTGGGTCCTCATTGCTGCACGTGGGCTTTCTCTAGTTGTGGCAAGCGGGGGTTACTCTTAGTTGCAATGCGCGTGCTTCTCATTGTGGTGGCTTCTCTTGTTGCAGAGCATGGGCTCTAGGCGTGCGGGCTTCAGTAGTTGTAGCTTGTGGGCTCAGTAGTTGTGGCTCACTGGCTCTAGAGTGCAGGCTCAGTAGTTGTGGCATGTGGGCTTAGTTGCTCTGCAGCATGTGGGATCTTCCCGGACCAGGGCTCAAACCCGTGTCCCCTGCATTGGCAGGCAGATTCTTAACCACTGCACCGCCCGGGAAGTCCCTGTCTTCTCGTTAAGTTGTAGGATTTCTTTATATGTTCTGGATACTAAACACTTATCAGAGAGATGATTTGCAAATATTGTTTTCCATTCTGTGGGCTGTCTTTTCACTCTCTTCATAGTGCCCTTTGATGCAAAATAAATTTTTTTGTTTTTGCTTCAGTCCTAATTTATCTTTTTTCTCTGTTGCTTGTACTTTGGATGCCGTATGTAAGAAATCATTGCCAAATCCAAAGCTGTGAAGATTTACCCCTACGTTTTCTTCTAAGAGTTTTATGGTTTTAGCCCTTATATTTAGGTCTATGGTCTATTTTGAGTTAAATTTTGTATATGGTGTGAAGTAAGGGTTGAACGTCATTCTATTCCATGTGATTATCCAGTTGTCTCAGCACCATTTGTCAAAGAGACGAGTCTTTCCCCATTGAATGGTCTTGGCACCTTTGTCAAAAGTCAGTTGCCCATAGCTACATGGGTTTATTTCTGTACTCCCAATTCTATTCTTTTGCTCTATATATCTATCCTTATGCCAATACCACACAGTAGATTTATAGTAAGATTTGGAATCGGGAAGTGTGAATGTTCCAATTTTCTTCCTCTTTTTCAAGACTGTTTTGGTTATTCTGGGTCCCTTGAATTTCCATATTAATTTTAGGGTTATATTATTTTCTACAAAGAAGTCAGCTGATATTCTGGTAGGAATTATGTTGAATCTATAGATCAATTTGGAGAGTACTGCCGTTTTAAAAATATTAAGGTTTCCAATTCATGAGCATGGATGTCTTTCCACTACTTCTTTTTTTTTAAATTAATTCGATTGCACCAGGTCTTAGTTGTGGCAGGTGGGCTCCTTAGTTGTGGCATGCAAACTCTTAGTTGCAGCATGCATGTGGGATCTAGTTCCTCGACCAGGGATTGAACCTGGGCCCCCTGCATTGGGAGCGTGGAATCTTAGCCATTGCACCACAAACAGGAAACTCCCTCCACTATTTAATTATTCTTTAACTTGTTTAAGCAGTGTTGTAGTTTTCAGGGTATAACTTCTGCACTTACTTTGTCAAATGTATTCGTAAGTATTCTTTTGATGCAATTGTAAATGGAATTTTATTTCTGTATATTTTACCCAGGGCCACAGCAGTGAAAGCACCAAGTCCTAACCACGGAACCACCAGGGAACTCCCTGGAATTGTTTTCTTAATTTCATTTTTGGATTGTTCATTGCTATTGTATAGAAATACAACTGATTTTTGTGTGATCTTGTATTCTGCAACTTTGCTAATTTGCTTAATAGCCCTGAAAGGTTTTTTCGGTCCATTCTTTTGTAGTTCCCATGTATAAGATCATGTCATCTGTGAATAGAGATTGTTTTACTTCTTCCTTTCCTATATGAATGCCTTTATATCTTTTTATTGCCTGATCGCTCTGGCTAGAACTCCCACTACAGTGTTGGCGTCCTTGTAACTTTTTTTTGGCTGTGCCACATGGCTTGTGGGATTTTAGTTCCCCAACCAGGGATCGAACCCGGGCCCTCAGCAGTGAAAGCGCCAAGCCCTAACCACTGGACCGCCAGGAATTCCCAACATTTTTTTTTAAAAGTTGGGCTTCCCTGGTGGCGCAGTGGTTGAGAGTCCGCCTGCCGATGCAGGGGACACAGGTTTGTGCCCCGGTTCGGGAAGATCCCACATGCTGTGGAGCAGCTAGGCCCGTGAGCCATGGCCGCTGAGCTTGCGCGTCCAGAGCCTGTGCTCCGCAACAGGAGAGGCCACAACAATGAGAGGCCCACGTACCGCAAAAAAAAAAAAAAAAAAAAAAAAAAAAAAGTTACTTATATCTTTAGTAATCATTCTCCTAACTGAATTCCTTTAAGTTTATGTGGAAGACCATTTGTCTCTGTTCCTGTAGATACTCTAATTTTGGCCAATCCATTTAAACTGGATTCTTTAAATAAAGAACATAAAGTATATAACACTTTCTTTTGGGAATCTAACTTTATGAGTAACAGGTCAACATATTGAGTATAGAGTGCCTGCAGGGCGTAGGCACTGTGGATGCATGTATCAAGTCTTTGCTCAGTAACCTGCCCACAGATACCCACTCAGGACAGATCTTCAACTTGTCCCATGGGAAATGCCTGGGGATTTTTAGCTTCTTAGATGCCTACAAAGATTTGGGAGCATTTCTCTAAATAGGAGTGAAGATAGAGAACTCACAAGTGTATCATAAATTTCCCTTATTCGCTGCCATGAAATTATTTTTGAAAGAATTCCTCTCTAGAGGTAACCCCCAAGGGCCAATGACTAACTTCAGGGTAACAGAATGTGTGAATTGTTTACTACAATAGTCCCCATAAGGAAAACTATAGCCTCCTTAGAGAGACCTAAGTTCCTAATTCCTTCTGATTGGAAGATAATTTAAATGACAATACTGTTCGC